GCTTTGCCATTCTCATAGACAAAAGTATGTGTGTGATCTGTAAAGTGTTGACATCCAGCCTATGTGTAGCCACACAAGCACTTCCTCAGAAGCACTTGTTGTCAAACTAGGCTCAGAGAGCACTGACTTGGCATAATGTAAGTTCACTTTTTTAAAAATCATGCAAAATAGTAGCTTGTGATGTAGTAAATTACGCCATGTTGTTGATGCTTAGCTCGCTTGTTCTCTCTGAGGGTACAGCTTCAGTTCAGTGCAGCATTATTTAATGTAGAGTAACTAGTAGCTTAGCTCACGGCATGTTTCAAGTAGCTTTACCAACACTGTCCATTACATTCAAGCCCTTGGCAGACGGAGTCAGCTGATTAAGCTGATTAGCACCAGGTAAATCTCCTTGTATTGTGTTTTATACTGGATTTTTAAGTCTGGTGTTATATTGCAGTAGTGATGCATATGTGCAAGATGCCTATGTAGTATCTGTAAACGTAGGAAGAACAGTTTGGGCTTTTTCTTGTTATAAGTGTTTCAGGAAGTTATGCACTGCAGGTTTTAATGTGTTTAGCCCAATATGCCACCTCATAGTTAAGGATGAGTATTTGATTTAGGTTGTAAGTAATTAGAGTTCAGCCCAAATGTAACAGTGAAATGTCTTAGGCCCACACACGTGCATGTTTGATGCAATCCCAGGGTTTCTGGGGATGATGTCTGACACAGATTAATGCAGCCAGCATACATACTCGTTCATCCAAATACACATACACTGTCCTGCCCTACAACAGATTGAGGTCAGGGGATTGTCCAAACAGTTTCATTGCCAAAAACCCTCTCCTACAGTCACAACCCTACTCTGCCTTGGATCGCAACAGGATCCGCACCAACTAAAGCATATGTACAGAAAAAATGCAATAGAAGGAAGCCCCAGACACCTACAGTCCCCACCTGTGGGCTCATACACACAACCACACACAAACAAATGCCCTACAATGAGTGTCCCACAGGTGGAGCAGAGTCTCCAGAGCCCGCTCAGCCGTGCTGAACAATGGGTACTGAGGGGAAGTTAAGCCTCTTGCAGCGCACCACTTAGTGGCCAAGGGATCAGGCATTAGGACACAAGGCGTGTTGGGAATCCTTCATGACAGCAGCTTTCACAGAGTCACACCAGGTCACCACACACCAGCTCACTCACATCTAATTTCAGGCAAGGAATGAGACCTTTAGAATGAAAAAAGGGGAGGAAATGATGTCGCGCAGGCATCGTGCCACTGATGTGTTGCACTTTGTGCTGTGCCACTTAATTGAACTCTGCTCTTAGTGAGGCTTTGAAATGCTCTTTATCTAATCTATAACACAGCTGTCAATGTCTGTCTGCAGGAACTGAGGGAACTTTAAGTCTGACCACGGTTTGCAGAGTTTCTCTTTCTGCAGCTGTGCCTTCCACAATACGCACTAAACCGCAGACAACTTTGAAGCAGCCAAGCCCTGTAAAAGTTTAGGTTTAATACGTGATTAGTTAAGGGTATGGTTGCGAGCTTTGTCGATGTGGGACTAGTGCAGATTTGCCTTTGGACGCATCTGGTATCGATGTCTCCTGGATGTCTTTAGAGGCTTTCCAGACACATCCTGTCCTGAATTCAACAACCAAATGTGTAGTTTTTAGCCAGCTGGATTAAAGCCAGGATTGCCAACCCTGGCTTTGAGCTTAGGGTCATTCCGTCAACAAGGTTCCATTAACAAACAAAAGAAAACAACATTCACCGATGGTTGTAAATGAGAAGAGAACAGTCTCCTGTTGCAAAGTTGTCATTTTGTCGATCCATCCTCCCAACACTGACTTTGCTCATCATCACCCTATTCCTCCATTGCACCTGATGAACAAGTCTCATAACTGCTCCTGCCAAACATACATTGTTTCATGGCATATAATGAAATAATGAAATCAGTTTTTATTAGTAGGACAGTCTCGAATGATTTGAGGTCCCCCAGGACAAGCAGGAGGATGTGACTGAGAAGATGTCTGCTCATCCTGCTGCTACTGAGACATGGGCAGTCCTATAAGGATGGAAAGCCCACTGGGACTCTTAAATTCTGATTTGGACCTAAAGTAATTTCCCTTATAAGGCTCATAAATAATCTTAAGACTGTGAAGGTAGTTATAGCCATCAAGCTTAATGAGAACGTTTCACACTGGGGTCAGTCAGATGTGAATCAAATGTGAGTAAAGTCAACAAACCCCTTAAAGTTTAAGTTTGCAGACGTTTATGGACGCAGCAGACAGGAAGGGCCGAAGCCAAAACAGAAGTATGGCTGTTCCCTGCATTTTGTCCCACATGCCCAAAGAAGACCATGTGAAGAGTTACATTATTAAAAATGCACACAGCAATGACAGAGGCCATATATGGAACTAAAGCCCAAACTCTCTGCAATGTGACAATATGTATCTTGAATACGATGAAACACAATGCATCTGATGTTTCACTCAAATGATTGTTTACAGGTTGCTAAAGGGTCATTTCATATATTTCACCAGGGTGACATTAGAAGCCGTTTCCTGTTGTGAGCAAAGCGATGAATGATGTCAGGGCTTTACGGGTGTTCAGAGATCAAAAGGTCAAAGGTGACAGCTGGTTGCTCTTGACAGAATGTGTGATAGTTGATGAACGTGTGTGTGTGTGTGTGTGTGTGTGTGTGTGTGTGTGGTAGGTGCACATGTTCTCTTTGTGGTGTGATTAATTTTAATTTCCTGCTTATTGCATCCTTATGCCCTGATCAAACTTTGTTAGAATGTTTTGGGGAAACTGTTTGCAGATTTCTACGTAACGATCTGTCCAATCCAATTCAGATCATCAGGCTTGTTTAACAGTTATAGTGCTGCAACATCATTATGTCTTTTATTTACTGTATGTTTTGACCTTGTTTTGAATGCAACTGCATGGCTTTAATTTACGCATTCAGGGACCACACTCACACTCACAATAAAGAGGACATTATTTATGTGCCTTCTAGGCCTGCAAGTGTGGTGCGATGTTTCTGCGATGTTAACATACATTACTTCTGAGTGGGGGGATGAAAATGTTGCGCCTCATAAAGAAAAAATACTGCACATAAAATGCACTTCCCTTCTTTGTCTTTGCACAAATCATACTTTACATGTCTTATTCTGTTTTTGCTTCCCTCACATGGTCATTAACCACCACAAAGGGTCTGGAGCTTTTTCTCCTGTAAAATAATGGCTCATGAATCAACTCCTTCATTTTTATTATCTGCAGGTTGCCTAAAAACACAGACATGCCAGTATTTATTCATTTATTTGTATTTTTGAAGACAGTTTTTTTACTACAGAGAGTAAAAATAAATCACTATATGCAACCACCACTCCATTTTGTGCTTTTTTTATATTATCTCAAGGCACTTTACATAGAAGGTCAAAACCTTAAAATCATCAAGTTCCCACTATGAGCAGCACTTTGGCGACTTTGGAGAGGAAAAACTCCCTCAATTATTATCAAAACAATATGGAAAAAGGGCATTTTGGGTCGTTATGTGAGGCATTTTATTGCCCCACATTACAACCCACACAGACACAAAACCGTTTCACACAGACAAAAAAACATTCCTGGTTTTCTTCCCATTAATTATGATTCAGCAAACGAAATATGTTAATTTCAGTAAATATACTGGTATGATATTATATATGCTACATGTTTGATATGACAAAAAAGAAAAGCTAAGGAAATAGTTAGTTGTGATGTTATCCCAAGTTTATAAACACATGATGTATTTTTTTAAAGTTCGAACCTGCCGTGTCAAATGGACTTTGCGTTTCCCCGCACTATTCTTCAATGTATACGACAGAATCAAATCTGCCTCTAGTACTGATTGTGCGGTGACACTGTGGAGTCTGAAACTAAACAGAAAGCAAACTGCTCTGATTCCACTTCTCTCGGTCAGGCCGGCTAATCTGCTCTGACACAGCAGCACCGTGACGCCTCTTTTTCACAACTGTGTCAATGATTTGACTGAGTGAGTTCACTGGAAACACTCTTATTCTGTGTACTACATTTTACAGCTGCTGATGTGGATGTCAGGCTCCTTGGTAGCAGCCTGCTGAAAGAACTATTAATCAGGATAAGAGGACACGATGAACTTTAATGTTGCCAGTGTGGAATTGCAGCAGCAGCAGCAGAGAGCAGGATGGAACTGAAGCTACAGTACTAGCTGATATAGCCTGCACAGGCAGAGTGTTGACATTTATTCTTTCCCTTTTTTGATTTTATAAAAACAATTATTGATGAAAAATTGATTGAAAACTTCACGACTTTACACACAATAGTAATCTAGCAGTTATCTTAGATTACCATACAGAGTGGGAAGAGGAGGAAACTGACTCAACCTGTAGCAGAAGCCTGTTCAGACCTGGTTTTAACATCTATCCTGAAAGATCCAATCACAAGTGATCAGCATTAAGTTCATGTTGTGACACCTTCGAATAATTCCAGAATGTGTCTCCTGTGATCACGTGATCAGATTTCACTTCCCTGCTCTATATGCAATGTACAGACACTAGGATATAACAAGTTATTAAGTAAGCGTTAAAGGTCCTGGCAGGACGATGTTGTTACCTCTGGACAGATCCTGTCATTTATCAGTCAGAGCTAAGTTAAAAGTCTGCTATAGTTGTAACATTATGTTCTACAGTATAACATGATCCAACAAGACTAAAACCCAAATCACTAAATTGCACCTATTACAGCTCAATAGGTGACACACACACACAATGTTTACGGCCTTTACGCATTGGTAAAGGTTGAGATCGATGACATCTCATACAGATCTCATTAGAAACCAAATCAGAACCATCCATAATACCGTGGGCCTCTGGACTTTTTATTAGTGTGGCAGTGGCATTTCTGTCACAGTGCTGTGGAAATGACAAGCATGTTGTGCTGTCATTATACAAGAACCTCTATAACTCCGATCTGAATCTATGTGTCGGGAGTCTCAGCTGGGTTAGGACAGAGGACGCATCTGGGACTATTAAGAGAATTGAAAAAGGATACAGATATTTGATCAGCACACAGTGGACACTGATCGGTTTGAGGAGACACACTTGCTGTTGATCTTCAGGTGAGTAATTGACTGACTTTTAAAAGCTGTCATATGGTTATGGTTTATAATTTGAGCTGATTTTCCCTCAACATATCTCACCACATTATTTCAGTGAACTGTCATCAGGAAAGCCTAAATCAAACTCTGAACATCTGTGTGTGAGGAGCAAAAGACCTGTCCTGAGTTATCATGGCTCATGTGAAGAGGTTCCAAGGAATCCCCATGTCAAAGGTACATCAATACACTGCTTGAATGAAAAGAACACTCTGATGACAGTATGCAGGAATAGGGTTGCAGGAAAAAACACTGGAGCATACCTGTACTGAGAAGTTGCAAGTTTCTTCATGTAGTTTTCTTCACCCTTATCTGTTCGACATCAACTTGACAAGATGATCACTCCTTGAAGATCACTCAGAGCCAAAGTGTTTCTTCTGAGAAGAGTCAATCTAAGAAAAGCATTAAACATTAGTAATCAGCGACCATTTACACTGGGGATTTGTGCCACATCTGCATTTGATCATTTGGGTTTAAAATGTGGGGACTGCAAAGGCCAGGGCATATGATTCACATCATTTTCAAGCTCAAATTATTCATCTGCCCTGCGGATGTAGGCATTGTCATCTTAACACACATCAAACTCATCATCAGTTTTTTTCCAGAATTGGTTGACTCATATTCAATTTTTTTTTTGATGCAGAGAAGCATAGCTATAAAAAGTGTTCACCCTGCTCTGATGCTTTCATGTTTTTTAACAGTGGATCAAAGCAATTTGGATGTTTTTTGTGAAGCAATCAATATAAAGATACTGTCAAAGTGAAAACAGATCTCCGCAATGTGACCTAAATTTAAATATAAAGGACCTTTTCTGGGGTAAAGAAAACTACAATTCATACAATTTAGATGAAACGAACTAATGAAAACATGAGGATTATTCTGCATTAAATTTCTGCCAATAGTTCCCTTTCACCTAAATCTTACACACTGGACCTTTAAAAAAAATAAAGGACATGTTCATACACCTCTTCCAAATGCTTGTGCACATTCGTCTTTGCTCAGGTTGCGTGAGAAACATTAAGTTCAGTTTGACTGAATCTGGACACCAAAGGAATCAAACAACATTGTTTTGAAGCTATTTGTGTCTAATTCTGCTTCAACGCTTGGAATTCATCATGATAAATTCATGATGTGCAGTGCTGTCAACCATTGCATGTAGCCTGATGGACAAAAAGGTCAAATTTGGTCTTACGAGTCTGGTTTTTGCTATTTTGAGATACCAGGTTGGTTTCCGTTCAAAAAACAGAGGAACACGGCAAATCAAGGCGCTCCACATGGACTGTGTACCTGCGAGCAACCAAAAGCCTGCTCAAACCTGATTGGTACACTAGAAATCAAAGGCTACCGACCTCAAAATATCGTCACTCACCTACATATTCTGATGCAGAATCTGTTCATAGCGATTACACGGAACTTGACTGGAAATTGTTTTTCATTATAGACATGTTTTTCTTTGAAATGAAAAGTTTCTCTGTTGATATTTTTTTTTTTCCAAAAGGCCACATTTACTTGAATTAATTATTTGATTTTTTATGTCATAAAACAAGTATAAATACTTTTCTTAGGCGCTTGCATTTGAAAAGAATCAGGATATTCTACATAGACTGTTGATTCATGATCCATGCAGTAGCGACTGGGCTCAAGGCAATTAGACTCCAAACAAGTATCACTTTGATGAATGGTCGTCTCTCTGGTTCCAGTCATTGAGAGGTTTGTGTAAAGAGGAGGACTATGTGTTTCTGGGAACGTCTCAAAAAACAACGGAAGAGACGGCAGAAGGAACCGGAGCTCTGAAGGATGACAGGAGGGACCAAAAGGAAGAGAGGGTAAGAGATAAGACTCTAAATTTAAACAAACCCACAAAACTTAACACTCGACTTATTTAAAAACTATTTTTGAAAAAGAGCGTGTTTGTGCATTTGTTCCAGATCCGCCGGCGACTGGAGAGAGAAGAGCAGGATAAAGAGAGACTCAGAGAGATAGAGGAGAGTAAGAAGGTGAAGGAACACACACAAAAACATGCTTTTTTTGTATAATACATGTCTGTACAACTGTGAACCCAAACAGCCTCTTTGCTTTCAGTCTTTGGCACAGGATGAAATGTCGGGCAAAACGACACCAGCTCGGCCTCACTTGCTGGTGTTTGTTTTCTCTTGAGGACACACTCTCGCCAACACATGCAGATTTTCTCTGTAACCCAAACAAAGGTCTGAAACCACTTACCTCAGACTTTTGGATACACACAGTGTAGACACCCAGGTTTTACCCAGGAGCTAAGCAGTAGTACCTGGAACTGATCAGCGTGATGACAGGTTGTTTCTGCTCCAGGGGAGATCTTGGATTTTAGAGTTTAAAGGTTGGGTGACAGGTTTTTTTGGATAAATGTTTTTCAAAATCAAACTGATTTCAAAATCATTTTGCGTCATATTATTGTTTTACGTTGTCTCTTTCTCGAACGAGACTTAAACTTGGGCTGTCAGTTTTAGCCCAGATTTGAATATACATTTGAGCGTAGGAAAAAAAGAAACATATTCATACAGTTATGACCAAATTCCAAATATACTGAGGTAGTTTGCCACCTGATCCAGCAGAGGGCGCTCACCATCAGCTTCATCTTTTGCATAACCTTTTGACCAAATGTAATCTTATAGTTGAGTAGATGATATTTATTGATATATGTAATGGAGTAAAAGTGAAAAGTACTTCAAAATGAATCTACTTAAGGTATAGTTACATGAAAAACACATTTAAGTACAGTAACGACGTAAATGTATCTGAGAAGAGGTTGTTTTTTTGACAAATCTGTGTCCCAGTGAGGAAGTGGAGGAGGAATCATAGAGGAGCGGAGCAACGTCGAGTGCTCAGTCAACGACAAATAGCATGCCATGTCAAGTTCACGCAACCTTTATTTCCCCCAAAAAACAGTCCTAATTTGAACCAAAGACTGCATCAATTAGCTGCCTTGTTTAACCATTAGCAAATAGCACATGGCAGTTGACTTAAGCTCATGTTTCCTTTGCCTTATCACTCCTGTGAATGGAGTTCATTATTCACAATTTAAGATGCTGTGCTTCACATTTTGTGAGACCAGGCTGTTATAATCAGCCTAATGGAAAGAGGGGGCTGAACAATCAGGCAGACGGGCGGCACTCTGATGCCAGATCGATGGGTGTTAATTCGCCATCAAGGTTCACTTCATTGCTCCTGGCTAAATCAGATTCACTTCCATGGAAAAGACAGGCTGTGAAATGCAACTCTGGCCGTCTGTCAAGGCTTCTGGGCTTATCAGATGTTTCAAACGTCACTCACACACTTCACACTGCTAAACATCAACACGTAGACAAACACACTCACACACACTGGAGCAGAAACACATATTTTTGAGTTCACGCTGAAGATTCATTCGCAAACACACAGTTGCCAAAACAGATGGACATCCTCATTGATATGGAATGCACATGCACGCGCACACAAAACAACTGTGGGTGCTTTGAGCAGCTGCCCCGTTTCTGACAAGAGTGTGTGAGGTCAACAAGGGACATGGTCTGTTGTTGTTGTCAGTGTTTCCGCTGTGTGCACACACCCAAACATGCACACACAGACACACAAAAAGGCAGGAAGTTGATGACAACATTTACCCTGATAGAGACAACTATTACTCTCACCTCAATACGGAATGTACTTTCCGCTGAACCCAAACTTAACCCCAGACACACACAGACAATATATAACAGGGGCAGGGAACCTCTGGCTCGCTGGCGGTGAAACAATTTGAAGTGGCCTGCGAGATAATTCATGAACGGGCCATATTAAAGTGAATTCTAAATACAAATCAAAATCAAGGCTTGATTTTTTTTCTGCAGTCAAACAAAATAAAGATAGTTGACTAGCTTGCTCCTCTGGGTGTCATTGCTAACAGGTGTCATGGCGACTGCCAGGAAAAGCAGATGCAGATTGTTGTGCTTTCAAAAAGAAATGGACATGCAATTATTGGAAGTTAAAAGGAAAAGGTCAGTCAAACGAAAAGATGTTGCAAAATTGGATGAGTTACGAGGACAAATGTTTTTAGATGAAGAGCAGAATTTAAAGCTCTTGCATTAAACGGGTAAGTAGGACATAATAAAGTATGACCAACATCTACATTCTATGTCAAAATGGATTGGATTAATCGTTCATGCATTGCATCCTGAGCAGATAATGAACATTATCTCCATTTACATCGCAACAGTCTTCAATTTCATCCTTTGACTTTGAGCATTCAGAGTTGTGTTTGCACAAGCATATCGGTCCAAAACAAACACTTCACCAGGGACACTCTGCCAACCACAATCCCTGCCTCGCTTTGTGTTCTCTGCAAGGTGTTGCAATACCCAGTGAAAATGACTCCTTGTTGCATAACACTGGCATCTCAGTAGTCGCTTAGAGCCTGGTCTTATTATCCTGATATCCTGAAATAACTGCGTTGGGGATGTTGCCTGCCATGATGGCTGCTGAGTGGCGAGACATGCATATAGTGGCATAAATGCTCAAAGCCTTGTGGGTATCCTGACTTCTTTACCAGAAACAAGACTGTCCTCCTGTCTGCATGTGCAAGCAGTCCATCATGACCTGCAGCTAGGTTTTATTGTTAGGCGACCACTTGCTGTCACAGTAATTATGACAGGAGCAAGTTAAGTCCTGCAGTATAAAGGGGGTGGTTGGGTGGTCAAAACAGGATGTTTTCTCTCTATTCAGGTTGAATGCATGATTTAAGCTCCAAAGAGTATTCCAAGTTTCAGATTTTCTTTTGCCTGCCAATTTCCAGACTTGCATCTTTTCTTGTTTAGCCGCTTTTAAATGACTTTATGTATCAAAGACTTTGTAGGCGTGTAAATATCCCCCAAAGTCTTTTCAAAGTTTAAAAATGTCCACTACGCCTTTTTCTCTCCCCCACACACCTTTGGGCCATTTCCCATCTGTGCAGACAGTTTATATGTTCTCGACCCTCAGACTGCTCTACACCCTGACACACACCAACTCAACCACCACAGCCGGCCAGATGGCTAATTGCCAACATGATTGGATCACAGACAGACGACAAGTGTTAACACAATTCATCAATTTGTCAGTGATCACCAATTTTAAGGCAATTTGTTTAACAAGTGCTGCTTCCTCCTCACACACCATGAAGACATGACATGTGTATAGAATGGGATTGAAGTAATCATTTAAATGGCCAAATGCTCATTTTCAACTCAAGGCCTTTTTGGAAAGAATGTCCTGATTGTTTTCCTGGAAGTGTGTGTGAGTGTGTGTGTGTGTGTAACTGGGGAGGTGGCGCTTTAACTGCTTTCACCTTCACTCCATATGTGTCAGCAAAGCTTCCTCTTTAAACTGACCAACATTAAACTAAATGCCTCCCTCGCTCACATCAACTCCCTCCACACATTACTGCTTCCCTGACACACACACACAGAAATGTTAATAGATGACAGGCATTGTCCACTGTGAGCACACGCACGCACACGCTGGTTTGCAGCTGTGAAATAGAAATGGTTTGAAGATCAGTCCCATCAACTGTCCCAGACATAATTGTGTTTACAAGTTTACACATATGGATTTTTCAATATAGGGATAACATGTTAGTAAATGCACACAGGATACATTGTGGTGCAAATGCAGTCAATTTGGTCAGAGCTCTGGATCTGGGTTCACTCTTAACGTGATTGTACAGTGTTCATATTCTTAAAAATATGAAAAAGTTGGTTGAAATATCACTGAAGTCCTCTTTCTTGTCCTTTTTTCAGTTTCAGTATAATAGAAAAACTCAAAATAAGCAGAGTAATAGCAGCCCTGTGCTACTCAAGTATTGAAGTTGGAATTATTTTACAATGAGTGATAACCATTTGAGTCATTCCTTCCCTGGACCTCAGATACACCATGTATGTCCACCTTTATTTCTTTTCATCAAAAAATATGTAATGTTATTTTTCTTCTAGCACTACATGTTAATGGGATTTTCAATGTGGGAAAGACTTAGAAAATGACAATGCTTATTACTACCTGTTTCTAATTTAAAGATCTGTGGATAGCATGTCAATGTGGTCGGTACTGTGGGCAATGACTCTCTTTTATAAACTCCATTATTAAATTTTTTTTTCAATTAGCATTCATGAGCCAAATGGACTTCTTGCACTTTGGCATCTTATTTTACAAGAACATTATGGGAAATGTGTTAATCAAATCGTTGCACATGTATAGCAGCATTAGCCTTCGTTTGGCGAACAGTTTCTGGTCCAATAATAAAATATTTGTCTCTTAAACTACACACTCTACTCCCTGACCAAAATAATGAGACAAAAGAGGCCAAAAGGCTGAAAGGAACAGGTCATTTGACATAAAAAAAAATTTAATTTGACCCTTTATTGCAATGAAAAAACATCCTATTAATATTTATTATTGTGGAATAAAATTGCCAATAACCTTGAGAGTGCTCTGTGTTTCAGGAGAAAGAGCAGCAGTGGCGGAATCATGTAGCAGAGTTGACCTCCAGCCAGGAGAAGACTCTGCCTGACAGACTGGCACGACTCAGAAGATTCAGGGTGATGACAGACAGACACATCATGAACTGAAGCTTGGCTGTTGAACCAAGTGTCGATGTCAAACACACAGCAGACAAATCAACCAGCAGCTGCCTGACATATCTGACACGTTAACAATCTGAGATTCAACACCACAGTGCGGCAGCTTCAGCCGACACAAGGCTTCTAGTGTTTCAAAGCTCCTGGAGAAGAGAAGCTTTTTAAAAAGACCCAGCCCATGCTATTTATCACACAGAGCATTCCTGGACATTATCATCGAGTTACACGACGGTCACAGTTCAAGGTCACAGATCAGGAATCTGTTAATTAGACAGTGGCTCTTAAATGAATGCATGCTTTGAAGTTCAGGGAGCAGCTTTGGAAGATTGACGGGTTAAGAGCTGTCAT